GCTGCCAACAATGGAAAATAACTTAAATGTCCAACAAAAGGGAAGGTCTGGGACGCCACAACAAATATACCAAGGAATGGAAGTGGAGCTGGGGCTGGGTGATAAAAGACTTTTACTTCTCATTTTACACGTTTGAATTTCTTTTATTCTACCAAGTACTTCAACTACTTATATGAACTGCTCCTAAAAGTAAAAAAAAAAAAAAAAAAAAAAAAGAACTTAAATTTAGATTTAAAGAAACTGACATGTGACCAATGTCACACAATTCACATGAAATAAGTGATAAAAGTAAAACAAAATGGGAGTGCCTGGGTGGCTCAGTTGGTTAAGCGTCTGCCTTCAGATCGGGTTATGATCCTAGCTAGGGTCTTGGGATCGAGCCCCACATTGGGCTCCCTGCTCAGGGCTCGATCCCAGGGCCTTGGGATCATGACCTGAGCCAAAGGCAGATGCTTAACCAACTAAGCCACCCAAGTGCCCTTAAATATTCTTGTAGAAAAGTAAAATAAAATTGTGTGTATAACATTACAAAAATGTCTATGCATTCATCTAACAGAGATCTGGATCAATATAATAAAAAGGTTTTATTCTGTGGAACCAAAAACAATGTGGCCACAAAAGGGATACAGAGTTTTTTTTTTTTTTACATGTTTCCCCCCAAAACAAAACCTTTCCATTGATCTAAAGAAACATAAAAAAGACATTTTTGTAAATGGCATATTTCACATTCTTGTGTGAGACTCCTATTGCATGCACCTTCAGAGCCCATGTCTTCTGTCTTTGCACTTGGCTTATTTATTTATAAAGTTTATTTATTTAAAACACTTATTTATTTATTTATTTATTTATTTATTTTAGAAATTTCTACACCCAACATGGGGCTCAAACATGACCCAGAGATTAAGAGTTGCATGTTCCAGGCTTCCTTGCACTTGGCCATTTTTTTTTTTAAAGATTTATTTATTTATTTGAGAGAGTGTGCACACCTATGCACGCATGTGTGCACGTGGGGGGACGGGCAGAGGGAAAGAATCTTCAAGCTCACTCCTTGCTGAGCATGGAGCCCAACATGGGGCTCGATCCCAGGACCTAGATACCATGACCTGAGCCGAAGTCAAATGTTGGACTCTTAACCAACTGAGACACCCACGTGCCCCTGCCCTTGGCTATTTTCAAAGTGGCATTTCCAAAGGCTGGTGCTCAATCCCTTCTGCCAGGCTGCAGCATAGAGTCCTTATTTTAATGAAGGCCAGCCACCTTGATGAATGAATGGGTCTACCAGAGCCTGACACTCTGGAAATAGGGACCGAGAGAGGCAGTATTCACAGACAGCAAAGAGTCCTCATTATCTCGAAGTTGTTTCTAACAAGATGACCACAATTTCCAGAACAAGAAAATTCAGGTTATGCAGTATCTAGTCACGGGTAATAAGTTAAATTAAACAGCCTACAGGAAGACCACCCATAACCACCAAGAGGAAGGGCCTGGCCCCGCAGCGCTGCCACCGCTTCCAGTCGTCGGCCTACCGTAGCAACCAGTGGCGCTACCGCAGGCGCTGCGACAGCATCCAGTTCGCAGCGGATTTTTTTTAAACAATGTGTTAGGAAGACCTTGTTGGGAATGAAGTCATTCCCATGCCGCCTTAGAAAGGAAAATGTAAAAATGTAAAAAATGTAAACTCTAAGTAAAAGGTCCTATGTATAACTTTTGATTTTCTATTTCCAGAGTGTGCAAATTATTCAGCAACAGGGTAGCAAAATAAAGACTCTCATATACACTTGTTACGGGAGCATAAATTGGTAAAAGTCTTGAGCCAATTTAGCAACAAATTTCAGAAATCCTGAAGAAGGTACATACCCAGTGATACAATAATTCTATTGCTAGGATTTCACTGTAAGAAAACAACTATATTTCTATAAGAAATAATCTGTATTTCTGTAAGAAAATAATTTCCACATGGGTGTGGAAATTACTACATAACAGAAAATTGTTGTATTATTTAAATAGCTGAAAACTGAAAAACTAGCTAAGTATTTAACAGTAGAATTTGGTTAAAGAATTTCTAAACATTTCATCCATATAATGAATAGTATGCAGGTATTAAACATGGCTAGATGTTTACTGATATATGTGTGGATTATATTGTTGACCCCAATTCTCCACCCTCCCGGCTCTTTGTCACATGACTTTGCGTTTCCCATGGTGGACAGGATGGAAGTCTCCACCACAAGCTCTGCCATGTGTTGTTTTGATCCATGGGTGGATGTGTGATGCAACCAGAAACTTAAGAAGCGCATCCTGGTAAGTCTTATTCATCGTTGTGCCTCAGTTATCACTATGAGAAGACCATGCCTAGTTTAGTCCCCTGGTCCAGGAGGATGACAGGCATGTGGAGAAGAGCCCAGCCTAGATGAGCCAACTATAGCCAGCCACTGATGGATGAATGAGCTCCAGTGAAACCAAGAAACTGCCTAGACAAGTCTAACCGAGATCAGCTGATGCCTAGCGGACTTACAGATATATGAATCAAGTAAAGACTTATTATTGTTTTAAGCCACTGCGTCTTAGAGTAGTTTGTTAAATAACATTCTTGTGGCAACGGCTGATTAATAACAGTATTTAAAAGTCTTAAAGAAAAATGAGGGGAAAAAATCTGGAAATCCATACCCCAAATGCCAACAGATTTCCTGTTAAAGCCAGCAGACTGATCACAGGCATACCCTCTCTCCCTCCAAAAACCTCACTAACATGATAATAAAGGAATAAAACTTGTCTTAAACAACAAAGCAGAGGAGATTATAGCAAAATAAGGTTTAATGCAATAGTGGAAACATAAAGCAGGTAGAAGAGGGATAAATGACTGAGCAAAATGGAAGAAATTATAGTTTAATGGCCTGCAGAGAGGAGTAGCATTAAAAAACAGGCCAACTCACCCCCTAGAGTTTGTAAGAAATTCAGCATCTTGAAGGTATCAGGTACTATGGAAAGTGGGGGTACAGCGATGAAAATCAATCTCAAAGTTTATATACAGACCAATCAGAACCCCAGGTCATATCTCATCTATGTGCAGCCAAGGGACAATCCCTACATACCTCAACTTTCCATCTACTACTTCACCCCCCGACACTACAGCTCTGGAGAACACCCACTAAAGAGGCACAGATCTAGAAGATACTAAGCACAGTAATGGGCTAAGGTGAAGAGTAATGAGATTACATAAACTCTATTGTAATCAGCCACATCCCCCATTCCTGCTCTCTCAACTCTAGCAATTGGTCACATGAGCCCCCTACCCCGCCAAAACTCCATCTTGGTTATCCTTAGGCAAGACGCTGGAGGATTCCTCTTTGGAAAAACTAAATCATTTCAGAGAAAAAGAAAACCTATAAATGATGACAATTAGGGTTACCTCCAAGAAAAAAGGCCAGCCCACTGCCTGATCTCCTTATAGTGAGACTGATTCTGCTCATTCACAGCGTCTCAAATCAACACGTTAGTGCCAGTTTTAAATAAAAGACAGACAGCCAAGGGTCATTATAAATAAGAGAAAACCCGGGCGCCTGGGTGGCTCAGTGGGTTAAAGCCCCTGCTTTCGGCTCAGGTCATGATCCCAGGGTCCTGGGATCGAGCCCCGCATCAGGCTCTCTGCTCAGCAGGGAGCCTGCTTCCCCCTCTCTCTCTGCCTGCTTCTCTGCCTATTTGTGATCTCTCTCTGTCAAATAAATAAAATCTTAAAAAAAAAAAAAAAAGAGAGAGAGAGAGAGAATCCCCTCCCATGTGAAAGACAGACCTCAAATCAAACAGGAAACAAAAAAGGTGGTGGTGGGGAGACAAGGAAGACAAAGGGACTATTTGTAGAAATGATAAAGAGGATATTGTGGGGGTGCCTGGGTGACTCAGTCAGGCCATGATCCCAGGGTCCTGGGATCGAGCCCCACATTGGGCTCTCTGCTCAGCGGGGAGCCTGCTTCCCCCTCTCTCTCTACCTGCCTCTCTGCCTACTTGTGATCTCTGTCTGTCAAATAGATAAATAAATCTTAAAAAAAAAAAAGAGGATATTGTGGTGATAAGATAATAATAGGATGTTTCAAAGAAACAACTGGAGATGAAGAAAGAACTTCAAAATATAATTAAAAAATCAAGGGTGCAGGGCTGGTTCAGTCCATAGCACATGCGACTCTTGATTGTGGGGTCATGAGTTTGAGCTCCACATTGGATGTAGAATTTACTTAAAAAATAAACGTAAAAATATAAAAACAGATTAAAATATATATACATATAAAATTTTAAAACTTTTAAAATTCAGTAGAAGAGTTGGAAGATAAAAACATAGTAGTGTCCCACCAAAAGGAAGAGGAAGTCAGCAAAAGATAAAGTCCACTGAAAATAAAATATGCAAATTAGATGAGTCAAGAAAGGCCAATATCCAACAGATGTCCCAAACAAGAGGACAGAGAAAACAGAGAGGACAGAATTGAAAAATAGTAAAACAATACCTTCCATAACTAAAGGACACTGGTGTCTAAACTGAAAGGGCCTATCAGGGGCCCAGGATAATAAATGGAAAAAGATCCATGTCAAGACATGGCATCATAAAATTTCAAAACACTGAGGATAAAAAGAAGATTCTAAATCTTTCAGAAAACATTAGATTACACATAATGGCATCAAACTGCTTAAATAGCAACCAGGATACTAGAAGACAGTGAAATGATGCCTTCAAAATTCTGAAGGAAAAGTTTTCCAGTCTAGAATTCTATCCCTTGCCCCAACTATTAATTTGGTGCTAAACTAGAATAAAGACATTTTTCAGACAGAGAATAACTGAAAATAGGACCACCTGGCTCCCCATGCTAGCCACCGATATTTGGAGTTCTTAACAACATAGCAGACATTGACAACAAAGAACAGTCTGAACTTGATCAAGATTTGGATGATGTTGAAGAAGTAGAAGAAGAAATTGGTGAAGAAACAAAAATCAAAGCATGTCACTTGACTGTTCAGATGATGCAAAATCCTCAGATTCTTGCAGCCCTTCAAGAAAGACTTGATGGTGGGGGGGCGCCTGGGTGGCTCAGTGGGTTAAAGCCCCTGCCTTCGGCTCAGGTCATGATTGGTCATGATCCCAGGGTCCTGGGATTGAGCCCCACATTGGGCTCTCTGCTAAGTAGGGAGCCTGCTTCCCTTCTCTCTCTGCCTGCCTCTCTGCCTACTTGTGATCTCTGTCTGTCAAATAGATAAATAAAATCTTAAAAAAAAAAAAAAAAAGAAAGAAAGACTTGATGGTCTGGTAGAAACACCAACAGGATACATTGAAAGTTTGCCTAGGGTATCTAAAAGACGAATGAAAGCTCTCAAAAATCTTCAAATTAAATGTGCACAGGTAGAAGCCAAATTATATGAGGAAGTTCATGATCTTGAAAGAAAGTATGCTGTTCTCTCTCAGCCTCTATTTGATAAGTGATCTGAGAGAATTAATGCAATTTTGGAACCTACGAAAGAAGAATGTGAATGGAAACCAGATGAGGAGGATGAAATTTCGGAGGAGCTGAAAGAAAAAGCCAAGATTGAAGATGAGAAAAAGGATGAAGAAAAAGAAGACCCCAAGGGAATTTCTGGATTCTGGTTAACTGTGTTTAAGAACATTGACTTGCTCAGTGATATGGTTCAGGAACATGATGAACCTATTTTGAAGCAGTTGAAAGATATTAAAGTGAAGTTCTCAGATGCTGGCCAGCCCATGAGTTTTGTCTTAGAATTTCACTTTGAACCCAGTGAATATTTCACAAATGCAGTGCTGACAAAGACATATAGGATGGGGTCAGAACCAGATGATTCTGATCCCTTTTCTTTTGATGGACCAGAAATTAAGGGCTGTACAGGGTGTCAGATAGATTGGAAAAAAGGAATGAATGTCACTGTGAAAACCATGAAGGAGAAGCAGAAACACGAGGGATTTGTGACGGTTCGTACTATATCCAAAACAGTTTCCAATGACTTTTTCTTTAATTTTTTTGCCCCTCCTGAAGTTCCTGAGAGCGGAGATCTGGATGATAACGCTGAAGCTATCCTTGCTGCAGACTTTGAAATTGGTCACTTTTTACATGAGCGTATAATCCCAAGATTAGTGTTTTACTTTACCGGAGAAGCTACTGAAGATGATGATTATGATGAAGAAGGTAAAGAAGCAGATGAGGAAGGGGAAGAAGAAGGAGATGAGGAAAACAATCCAGACTATGACTCAAAGAAGGACCAAAACCCAGCAGAGTGCAAGTAGCAGTGAAGCAGGATGTATGTGGCCTTGAGGATAACCTGCACTGTAAGAGCCTAAACACAACTATGATTTACTTACAGCCTTATGTTTTTGTATTTTCTCGGTAGACTCAGTAATTTTTTTTAAAGGAAAGGAACTGATCATTTTAAAGACCAATTTGTTCTACTTAGCATTTTAACTCTAGTTTTTCTTCCAGATCTGTTGATTTCACAAATTCTTTCATGCATGTTCATTTATTGCTACGTGGTTTGGTTCTTCTGGAGTAATTTTTATCCTGTAATGAATATTTTAGATTACAGCTATGAAAGTGAACAGAACTGTTAAAAGAAACTTTTTTTTTTTTTTTGCTTTGCTAATTTTTTTCCTGAAGAACCAAAGTATTTTTTTTCAACTGGGTTTACACTTGCTTGCACTAGCTGTGCTTTTCATTACTTTGTTTTAGAACTGCAGTGACTAAGACAATTCCTCACTTAAAAAACAGAAACAAAACTTGTTGAGACAAATATATGGTTAAGAATTTCCAGTAAGACCACAACTGATAACTTGGATTACTAACGGTTTTTTATTTTAGGTGACATAGTTAGAAACCTAGTAAGGAAACCGTAGTAAAGAAACCTAACTCATAGTGTGGTTATTGGTTACTGTAGGGAGGTGAATAAAACCTGTTTTCAGAAAAAAAAAAGAATAACTCAAAGTATGTATCTCATACACCACCCTCCCTTTTTTAAAAAGATTTTTATTTTTAAGTCATCTCTACACCCAACATGGGGGACAAACTTACAACCCCAGGATCAAGAGTCGCAAGCTCTGCTGAGGGAGCCAGCCAGGCGCTCCTCATACACTGTTTTATTGGAAACTACTAGAGGAAATACCTTAGCAAAACAGAGAAAAAAATCAAAGGAGAGAAGGAATCCAGGAAAGAAAGGAAATGATACAAAAGAATTATAAAGGGAAATCCCAGTAGGCCCAGAAAACAACCAGGGTAGACTGGGGCATGATGGTGGATGTGTGAGAGGTCTTCAGAAAAATAATGGAATTGAAAGACTCTTTGATGTATTTAAACATTTTTTTTTAAAAACTGTTTGGCACTAGGGGCGCCTGGGTGGCTCAGTGGGTTGGGCCTCTGCCTTAGCTCAGGTCATGATCCCAGGGTCCTAGGATCGAGCTCCAAGTTGGGCTCTCTGCTCCCTCTCTCTCTGCCTGCCTCTCTGCCTGCTTGTGATCTCTCTCTCTCTGTCAAATAAATAAATTTTAAAAATATATTAAAAAAAAAAACAAAAAAAAAACTGTTCGACACTTGATAGTTTACCAGAACAACTGTGGGGGGAAAGGGGATTGTTACAAAAAGACTAAAAAAAAAAAAAAAAAAAAAAATTTTTTAAAAAAAAAAAAAAAAAAAAAAAAAAAAAAAGATTAATTATTAACCCCCGGAAAAAGAAAAGGTTATACAAGAGAAAGTAATCATAGTTATTACTTTGCCCAACAATGAACAATACATACAGTATCATAAACTATAGGTACTGACTACTGATTAATCAAACCTGTGATATAACTACTCTAAGAAAATTAGGCGAAGGGGAAATGATAATAAAAAAGAGCTGAATCTTTATCTCCCATTAGGGGAGTGCAATAAATAATGTCTAATATTTATAATTCAGGAAACAGCAATATGAGCTCTTACTTAGAAATATCAAAGTACCTGTACCCCTGGGGCTAACATACATTGTATGTTAATAAAAAATTTTAAAGTTATTTAAAAAAAAAAAAAAAGAAACATCAAAGTAGGAGAGCCTGGGTGGCTCAGTTAGTAAGTGTCTGCCTTTGGCGCAGGTCATGATCCCAGGGTACAGGGATCGAGCCCCACATCAGGCTTCCTGCTCAGTGGGAAGCCTGCTTCTCCCTCTCCTTCTTCCCCTCCCCTCTGCTTGTGCTTTCTCTCACTATCTCTCTCTCTCAAATAAATAAATAAAATCTTAAAAAAATATATACAGAAGTAGGGCGCTTGGGTGGCTCAGTGGGTTAAAGCCCCTGCCTTCGGCTCAGGTCATGATCCCAGGGTCCTGGGATCGAGCCCTGCATTGGGCTCTCTGCTCAGCAGGAAGCCTGCTTCTTCTCTCTCTGCCTACTTGTGATCTCTGTCTGTCAAATAAATAAATAAAATATTTAAAAAAAAATATATATATATATAGAAGTAAATACCAGCAAACACCAGAAGTAGTTCTTTCGGGTTGAACTAGGAATGGGAAGAGAGTCAGAGGGCTGCTATTCTCATAACCCTTTTCCCAGATTTTCTGTTTGTTTGTTTAACTTTTTTTTTTTTTTTTTAAATAATCTCTATACCAACTCGGGGCTTGAACTCCCAACCCCAAGATCAAGTGTCTCATGCTCTTCTGACTGCCAAGCAGGCATCCCATTGTTTATTTTTTCCATCTGTGTTAACAATATCTCTCTGAGTAGTAGAATTTCAGCATCTTTTAAGTTTTTTCTCTGAGCTTATCTAAATTTCCTATAACAATCTCGTATTACTTGTATAATTAAAAAAAAATTCTTAAACATTGGATTGTTTAAAAAAAAAAAAATCCACAGCAGTAATATTACAAAACCCTACACAAACCAGGGACTGAGATTTGCGCTTTCCTTTGAGGCCTTACCTTTTATCGTGGTCAAAATGAAGAAAGCAATGAGGGTGTTGTTGATAGCACAGGTAGACTTGGCAACACAAGACAAGACCGTGTAGGGATTTAAGAGGTAGCTGGGGAAAAACATACAATGTTGGTATTAGTAATCTCAGTCAGAGCACCAGGGAGTCCTGGTCACCACAGGCCAGGATTCAAGAGATTTACTAAAACTGAACTCAAGGGAAGGCAACTTCTTAGAAATGAGTTAAGTAAAAGAGAATAAAATGGGCTTGGGACCAATGAGTATAACACATTGAACATCCACTGCCTATTCTGTGCTACGTGGAAGATCATCATAGAGATCCAGTAAGCTAGCAACTCCATTATTCCTCCAATGGAGAACCTGAGACTCAGTGGTTAAGAAACTTGCTCAAGGTTTTACAAGCTAATCAATACATTCAAAATCAGGACTTTCTGGCTCGAAAGCTTATGTTCTTTTTATTACTTCAGATCTCATAAATGATAAAATTTTAGCAATTCCCACAGAGTCATATATTTTTAGGAATGGCTACAGTTGTCTTTGAAAACCAGGGAAGTAATTTTTCCTCAATCAGGCTCCTAAGCTCTGATGCAGGCTATCCCTCCCCCTTTCCACCAAGAGGTCAGAGCAGCTTGGGGTTATCCCTCTTGGTGGTCAAGCTGTATCCACCAAGTCAGGCCCCAAGGAGAGGGTAAGTATCTGCTGAATTCAATAAGCTGGTTGCCACAAAACTTCAAGACAGGACACCTTGAACTTCCCCTGGGAAGGAATTAAGCTGAAAAACCTAGTCTCTGCTGGAAATGGAAAGGAATGGACTGAGAAATGAATTTAAAATGCTGATTAGGGAAATTTTATATAGTCATAATGAATGATTATTTTATTTATTTCTATCCTGCTTCCACAAAAGATTTGAGGAAGCTCAAATAAGAACAGATAATAAAAACTAATAGCAAAATAAAAATAGAAATAAAAAAGCAAGACCAGGAAAAATGTAAACAGAAAAAAAATAAGGGCCAAGGGAAAAAAAGACCAAATGGGTCTTCTACAGCACTGTGATAATCAGCTTCAAATGTGGCTCTGAGTTTCCTGGCAGACAGAGTGAAAAGGGAGACCAGTTACATAATTCTGATTGTTAGATAGGAAGAAACATACCAGCGTCTCAGGGACAGATTATAATTATTATTCACCAATAAAGACCTTAAATCCAATACCTCCCAGGGCTGTAAGATTAGCAGTTCTAAAGCCAAAGGCCCAAAATTGTTGGTGTTTTTTTTCAACAACCACAGATAGGCCTATTACACAACCTTTAAAGAAATGGCTGCTACTATTATAAAAGAATCCCCAAGAGATATATGAATCCATAAGGGACTCATAATGTTGCTAAACCTCTGATTCTATTAGGCAGTTCCTGCTAATATTTCTGAAATACATAGATATGTAAGTTGTTTGGTAGGAGAGGAGGAAAAAGGTCATTTCTAAACAGCAGGTGGATGTTCGAGAAGCAGCTGCTTGGCCACCTATATGGAATACTGAACAGGAGATTCAACACAAAGCAGAGGGTTGAATAAACTGTCCTCACAAGGCCCCTTCTAATTCTGAAGTTCCAAGGTCAGGTTTTTCCATGAAGAAACCTGTCTGTCTTGTTTATGGTGTATCCCTCAAAGCCAGTATATTATTAATATTCAATGACTATTAGTTTGACTAAATAATCATTCAGATTTGCCTATCTCCAGAATATAAACGGGAATAACCTGACAGAATTAAATTTACTGGCAGCCCAGAGCACTTTCAGAGAAATCTCTTACAGAGCTTCGGTAAGTTCCACTCTCCCACACTGGTCTCCCAGCTGGGATGGGTCTGTTTGGCTCTAGTTTTCTAAACTACAAATGTGGGACTTATAGTGTACATGAACTACTCAACCTGCTCAAAATAATGGCCATGTAAAGATCAGAATTTTATTCAATCCAAATATACAATTAAAGAACTTTTTTTTTTTTTTTTTTGGAAACACTGGTTACAAGTAGGCTGGAGCCCAGATCAGCATAGAGTGAAAAAGCATTTGTGAAGGGTTGATTGTGCATGTCCCTGTGTGAGGCTTTGTCCCAACAGAAACAGAATGGCTCTGTCTCCTTTGCTGGCCAGGACCCCAGTTGTGCAACAGAACCACAGCAAGTACTTGATGACTAAGACTGCAAATCTCCAAAAATACAACAAACAACATGAGAAAGTCTCATCAGATTTTCCTTGCGTTCATTGGCACTGAGCCCTGTTTTGTGAAAGAATACTTACAACAGGGCCACTTTCAGAGGGATGTAACGCATTTCCATCGGGGTTCGGATGAGTTCGGCCACATCTGGAGCATACTGGTCTAATTCAAGGAGGAGTTTCTGCTTTTTAAACTGGCAAAAAGAAATGGCAAAACATATTACTTCCCATTGCTTTTAGAATGAAGACAGCAGTCCTTCTGTGGCCCACATGGCCCTACCTGTCCAGGCTTACCTCACACCCACCTGTCCCCTCAGCTCTCACTCC